GAATTTGTCCCCAGACACAGTTGGCCTGGGGTACCCTTATTTCCCTTCCTTCCAATGTGTGGTCCAGATCTCAGGGGCCTCCTTCAAAGTCTGGTGCACATAGCCTTTGTTCCCTCACCAGATCCAATTCTGCCCATCCCACAGAAGCCATTTCAAAGTTACTGTTTCTACTTGGATTGTGCCAGAAAGGAGCATCTGAATTTGTCTCCCCACATATCCACATACACATGCATCACATGGTAACCCACAGCTTAGAGCAGCTCCTTTAGATGCTCCACAGGTAGGGGTTTCCAGACTGACCTTGAGACCTCACTTCTAAGCACTATGTTCTGGGGGAACTTCTAGAGCTGGGAGCTAAAATTAAGGAATCCTAGTAACCTCAATCCCAGGCCCTGGCCTAAACACAACACAGGTTGGGTTAAGTTTTTTCTAGGTGATATCCAATCAGCCATACCTGTGGGAAAGGATTCTCTCTGGGACAGAAAGGGATGGGAGGGGCACAGAGAAGCCCCAAGGTCAGCCAAGGCTAGCACAAGCCCAGCTGTGTGCTCTTAAGAGAACAGAGTATAGCTGGAGGAGGGGGGGATGCCTGAGGAAAGAGGGAATGGAAGATGGAAGAAGAGTACAAAAAGGCCTCAAAGGGGCTAGGGGTTTAGCTCAGCGGCATAAGCACCTGCCTTGCAAGCAGGCCGTTGTGAGTTCGATCCCTGGTACCGATAAAAATGAAAAAGACAAAAAAAAAAAAGGCCTCAAGTTACTCAATGAAGGACACCTGATTTTGTTACCCCCCATACTTTTTGGGTGACACCAGTCAACAGTTACACTGGACTTTCAGCAGCTACACGTGCAGTGCCTCCCACTGTGATTCTATTCAAAGATCCAGGGTAGATTGGAGTGGACAAGGGGAGCCCTGGATAGGCAAATCTTGTAGGGGAACGACAAAACAATGACAGTTTGGTGGGATGTCCTGGGCATGTGGCAGTGGTACACGCTCTGTGTTGCCCAACGTGGCTGCCAGACACAGCCAGTGTCCACTGACCCAAAACCACCCTGACCAAAAATCACCAGCCAGAGATCACCCTAGCTCAAATTAAGAGGGAAATCTTTAGATCTTGACAGGCATGGGGGTCCACACTCATTCGAGAAGGTCTGCACACCTCTGTGGGTTCCATAGCACCTGCTCCTGCCCTTGTTCTGCACTCTTCCTCATGGCAATTATTTCCAACATTGTGCCACATGTTAAGAACGATGGCTTGCAAAGTACATGGGGAGCCACCTTCAGGAGGGATTGTGCTGGGCATGGGTTCTCCCTACCACGCATTAATGCTGTGCCTGGTTTTAACACACTATGACACACAGGAAAAGTGAGTCCCCATGGGTTCAGGGATCAAGGGAGGCTAAGATATTCTGGTAAGAAGCTCCACTGTGTGAGAGTGGGGCCAACAGACACTATAGTCCTTGGCCTACAGCCTGGGACTGACTCACCTCAGACCATGGTCTGACCAGTCTGCTTGAGGACTGTACGTCTGCTGCTTGGGGAGCTTTGTTCCAGATCCAGGTCCAAAATCTAAGAACTTTAATGCCCTGTGGCATACAGAGGAGGGATGGAAGTGGGTCAAATGTCCATCACAGGGCTTAGGAAGTGATCACCAAAGTACAGGCATAAAACTCAGTCTCCTTTCTAAAGCTGTACCCCAACATAGATTTGGGCTTTAGGATGTGATGCATGGCTTGGAATAGGGCAGAGATACTTTAGTTTGTTTGGCTTTTTTTTGTTGTTGTTGTTTTGTTTTGTTTCTTTTTTTATCGGTACCAGGGATCGAACTCACGACTGCCTGCTTGCAAGTCAGGTGCTTATGCTGCTGAGCTAAATCCCCAGCCCCGAGAATTTAGTTTTGTGGGGCATTAAAGTGCCCTTTGTCTGTGGTATGAGATTTTCTTAGAGTTAGGGAGGTGAGTGGGTATTTTAGTGGATAAGATCCCAAGTGAGAAAAAACCAGACTGAGCCAACTTTAGCAACAGTAGTAAACAAGGGTCTTTATTATCCAACCTGCATATATCAGGTGTCATCAGGCATTACATTCTTGCATAGTGTCACAAGCCTGAGCCCATCCACGGCTGTCCATGTTTACTCATGCTTATATAACTATGTCCATGGAGTGCACAGGCTAATCAGTTGTGTCAGGTGCTACAGGTCCTCACACCCTTTGGTGTTGAAGCAGTGTGTAGTGGTTTCTCACATTCCACCACAACAAAGATCAGGGAAACTGTGCTTATTGTAAGTGACCCATACAGTGGATTCATGCACATAAAGACCACAACAACAATAAATGTAAAGCATACTACCACCAATCCCACCACAGTGCAGCTTATGGCTACCCAGAGTCAGGTGGATGCCAAGGATTCCCACCACTGCATGAGCAGGTCCTGGTGCAAGGCATTAAGGGCACAAAATTCCACCTCTATTTCTTTTTTTAATTTTTTATTTAAAGAAAGAAAGCAAAAAGTTATAGAATATGAGACTCAAAAAATTAACATCATAAAATGACTAGTTGATACATTACTATTGTCATCTTAAAAGTAGTTGTTAACCTTACAAAAACAAAGCATAAAAATGGTTGAACACTGCAACACTGACATGCAAACCCTTCAGTTCAATGATCTAACAGACATTTAGTAATATGGCCATCTATCTTAAACACTATATATACTGTTGTATCCTTTAGACCACTTTTCTTCCCTTTTTCTTTTACAGTGTCTACTATACTTTTTTGGATCCCATTACTTTGTCAGTTTTTATTATTTTTTACTCTAGAGAGACAATGTGATATTTACTAATGTGAGTCTTATTTATTTTACTAATGAGGATATTCTCAAGTTATATTCATTTACCTATAAAGGCCTCAAGATCATCCTTTCCTATACCTGAGTAGTATTCCATTGTGTAAAAACACAATTTTTTCATCCCCTTGCAGTTGATGGACAGTTTGGATGTTTCCAAGATTCAGCTATCTCAACTGTGCTACACATATGGGTGCACATATATCACTGTAACATGATATTTTAAATTTTTCTTGGAAAATACCCAGGAGGGTAATAGCTGGATTGAATGAATCTTCCAATTCTAGTTTTTGAGGAATTTCCACACTGATTTCCACAGTGCTTTCCCTGTCTGCATTCCCACTAACAGTGGACAAGTGTTCCTTTTCCCCTTCATGCTTGCCAATATTTGTTTCAGTTGATTACTTGAACGCAGTTGTTTTTCAGTAGTAAGATGAAATCTCAGTGCTGTCTTAATTTGCATTTATCAAATGTCCAGTGATGGTTAACATTTCTTCATGTATTTATTTGCCATTTGTATATCTTCTCTGAGAACTGTGTGCTCATCTCTGACACCCATTTTTGGAAAGGGTCTTTTGAATTTGGGGGCTAGATGTTTTTCAATTCTTTATATGTTCTGTATATAAGTTCTTTGCCTTATATCCAGATTCTTTCTCACTCTGTAAGGTTTTTTTCACTTTGTTTGATTTCTTTTGAAGTGCAAAAACCTTTTAGTAATATGAGACCCCAGTTGTTGATTCTGTGAAGTATTTCCTATGTGGTTTGCATTTTATTCATGAATTCTCTGCCAGCCCTTATGTCTCTAATATTTCTACCTAACTTGTCCTCCAGTGAATTTCTGTTCCTTTTTCAATATGAAGATTTGTGATCCACTTTGACTTTAGTTTAGTGTACAATGATAGGCATGGGTCTAGTTTCAGTCTTCAGCATGTAAAGTCAAGTTTGCAACACCATTTATTAAAAAGGCTATCTTTTTCCAGTGATCATGTTTAGCCCCTTTGACAAATATAAGGTGGATATATTTGTAGTAGTTTTTGCATCTTCTAATCTGTTCTATTGATCCTTAGGTCTATTTCTCTGCCAGTATCATGCTGATTTTATTATTGTGGCTTTGTAGTATAGTTTCAAGTCAGGAATTGAGATGTCTCCTGTCTTGCTTTTGTTGTCCAGAATCACCTTTGTTATTCTAGATTTCTCCTGTTACCAGATGAATTGTAGGAATATTTCCTCTAGATATGAATGTATGTCAATGATATTTTGATTGGGATTGCACTGAATCTGTGCAACAGTTTGGGAGTATGGCCATTTCCACAATGTTGGCTCTTCCTAACCAAGAGCAAGAAATGTCTTTCCATTTTCTAATATCCTCTTGAATCTCCATTTTGTGAGTAGTATAATTTTCAGCATATAGGTCTTTTACATTCTTAAGTTGATTCCTAAGTATTTCATTTTTAGATGCTAGTGTGAGAGACTACATTTCCATAATTTCCTCCTCAGTGAGTTTTTGTTTGTGTACAGGATTGCTATTCATTTTTGAGTGTTGACTTTATATGCAGTTATGCTGCTGAATTTGTGTATTACCACTCCTAGTCTTTTAATGAGGTTTTTGTCATCTTGTATGCAGAGTATCATGTCATCTGCAAATAATCATAATTAAACTTCTTCCTTTTTTAGTTTTATTTCTTTAATTTCTCCCTCTTATCTGATTGCTCTGGCTAACATTTGCAAAACTATATCTAATAGGAATGGTGATAGTGGACATCATTGTCTTGTTCCTAATTTTAGTGTGAAGGTTTTCAGTTTTTGTCCATTTAGTATTTAGTATAACATTGGCTGTAAGTTTGTCATAAATGGTCTTAATGATATTGAAGCACATAGAGTCTATTCTGAGTTACTGTAGGGTTTTTATCATGAACAGGTTCTGTACATTATCAAAAGCTTTTTTGCATGTATTGAGATGATCATGTGATTTTTATTTTTGGCTCTGTTGATGTAGTGTATTACATTTATTGATTTGTATATGTTGAACCACCCCTACATTCCCGGAATAAATCCAACTTGGTTATGTTGTATAATCTTCTTGATGATTTGCTGCACTCTACTTGCCAGTATTTTAATGAGATTCTTTGCGTAGTTCTGCTTTTTGGTTGGATCTTTTTCTTGTTTTGGTATCAGAGTGACACTTGTTTCTAAGAATGAAATAGGGAGGACTGCTTCTCTTTCAATTTCATTGAAGAGTTTAAGGAGTATTGGAGTCAGATCTTCTCTGAATTTCTTATGGAATTCAGCTCTGAATCCAGCAGGATCTGGCCTTTATTTGTTGGTAAGTTTTGAATCATGTTTTTGATTAAAATAGCTGATATTGGGTTATTCAAAATTGGAATATCTTCTTGATTGAGTGTGGATAGTTCATGTGTTTCTAGAAATATATTTCCTCTGTTTTCCATCCTATGTGAATAGAGATTTTCAAAGTAGGTGCTCATGATGTTTTGAATTTTCCTGGGATCTACAGCATTTTCTATCTTTTCAGTCCTTATTATTTAGGATTTTTTTCTTGATAAGCTTGGCTAGAGGTTTATTAGATTTATTCTCTCAAAAAGCCAACTTTTGATTCATTAATTCTTTCTATTGTATTTATACTTCCAATTCCTTTTATTTCTGCTCTAATCTTTAGAACTTCCACTTTTCTAGGAACTTTAGGTTTGACTTTCTCTTCCTTTTCTAGAAGCTTGAGATGTACCTCTACATTATTTATTTGTGCTCATTCAATTTTCTTGATGGGACTACTTATTACTATGTATTTCCCACTTAGGACTGCTTTCATTGTGTTCCATAGGTTGTGATATGTTGTTTCTGCATTTTCATTGTATTGTAGGAATTGAGTTATTTCTTCTTTAATTTCTTCTGTAACCTAATAGTTGTCCAGAAGATTATTTAATTTCCATGCATCTATGCAGGTTTTGCAGTTTTTTGCCATTGATTTCCAATTTTAGTGCACTATGGTCACATAATATGCATGGAATAATTTTGCTCCATTTGCATTTACTTAAGAATGTTTTATAGGATAATATGTGGTCTGTTTTGTAGAATGTCCCATGTGCAGCTGGGAAGACTGTATGTTCTGATGTGGTTGGGTGGAATACTATGCAAGCATCCACTAAGTCCATTTACTCACAGGTATTATTCAGTTCTGTTATTTGTTTGCTGACTTTTTGTCCCAGTTGACATATCTCTTTGTGACAGTGGGGTGTTCAGGTGACCTATTACAATTGTGTTCATGGGGGCTGGGGATTTAGCTCAGCGGCATAAGCACCTGCCTTGAAAGCAGGCAGTCGTGAGTTTGATCCCTGGTACCGAAAAAAAAGCCAAAAAAAAAAAATTGTGTTCATGTCCATTATTATTTGTCTTACACAGTTGGGTGCCCCTGAATTTGGTGCATATATATTTATAATTGTTAGTGCTTCCTTTTGTAGTTTTCCATGTATAAGTTTGTAGTGGCCTTCATTATCTCTTTTAATCATTTTAGGTTTGATGTTCACTTTGTCTGAAAACAGTATATCTAGCTCTGCTCTTTTCTGGGTTCCTGTTGTGTGGAAACTGTTTTCCATGCTTTGACTTTTAATCTGAATTTCTTTTTGAGTCGGATGTGTTTCTTGTATACGGCATACTGTGGGATCCTATTTCTTGATCCATTCTGTTAACCTGTTTCTTTTGATAGATGAGTTGAGCACATTTACTTTTATGGATATCACTGATACTTACTGGCTTGATTTTGCCATGTTGTGTTTCTGTTGTTGGTTTCCTGCTTTGCTCCCTTGTTTAATTTCTTGTGGTTTCTTTCTGTTCTAGAGATTGTGGTCATTTCTATCTCTATCTAGCATGTCTTTCAGTACTTTTTCTATGATTGGTTTGGTGGACATGAATTGCTTCAGTTGTTCTTTGTCATGGAAGTATCTTGTTTCTCCATTAAATTTGAAGTAAAATTTTACTGGGTAAACTGGTCTGGGTTGAAAGTTGTTTTCTTTTAGGGCTTGAAATAATTCACTCCAAGCGTGTCATAACCTGAAGATTTGTGCTGAAAATTCTGCCGAGATTCTAATGGACTTCTCTTGATGTGTGCATTGTGTCTTTTCTCTAAAAGCTTTCAGTATTCTGTTTTTATGCTGTATATCTCAGCTCTTAATTATTATATATCTGGGTGCAGATTTATGTTGCTTGTGATGGTTTGGCATTCTGTGTGTCTCACTTATTTATATATCAGACTTTTCCTGCCTTTGGGAAATGGCATTAGTATTGGCTCCTGCATCTTACGGTTGTCTACGACTCTTTTAATATTTCTCTTGGCATCCTCTTGAAGCTACTGAATTGTCATTTTATGTTACTTTATTATTTTTATAAGTTCTAAACTTTCATAATCACTATGTGCGACTGACTCTATCCTCAAACTATCCTCAGCTTCATTTAAATGGTTTTGTGAGCTTTCAATAGAATTTTTTTTGTTGTTTTGGATATTTCTTTGAATTTGTTTCATGGATTCTGCTTGTTTTCTACATTGTTCATTCAAAATTTCAATCAATTTCCTATGCTCTTATGTTTTTTTTATATCTATTTCTTCTCTAGCTATGCTGAGCAACTAGTTTAATAAGGTTGGTATTTCTGTCTTTACATGGGTGATTCTTTCTAATTTGATTTCTGCTACAGCCTCATGGATTTGTTTCTTTACTTTAGTTGGTATCTTTTCAGAGATTCCTGGTGTATGACTTTAAGATCCTCTATTTCAGTGTTGCCTGTACTTGCTCTTGATGGACTAGATGTTTGAGATTGCATTTTGCCAATTTGTTTTGTCATTTTCACTCTTTGGGTAAATATTTGGTCTTTCAGTTCCAACATAGTGTGAATTTTAGGGTCCTACTGTGTGGTTTATGCTTGTGCAATTGCTGGGTACCAAAATGAATAGGAGAGCCAGTCACCTGTATTCCTCCAGCAGGGCCTGTTTTGTGAGTCCTATATTCTTCTTAGGCTAACTAGCCTAGAAGTATTGATGTAGGTCCACTCTCACTCAGTTCCTGCTATTCCTATGTATTCAGGTTGTTTCAGGTCACCAGATCTACTTGTCCACTGTATTTGTGTCAGCTGAGGCCCTACTGTGTCCTTGGGTGTTTTATGAGCTCTTTTAATTTTCTCTAAGTTGGAGGAGGCCTTATTGGCACACTACTCAATTTGTCTGATGTTCTCTATGTGGAGTGTTACTCACTCTCTTGCCAGGTTTCCCAAGGGCTTACAGTTGGAGGGAGCATCACTTCTGCTCCTACTACCCACTGCAGATCTCTATTTTAGGGATAAACTCACCAAACTGACTGGAGCCTGATGATGGTTTCTGTTTGCATGATGGGTTCCCGAATCTCTCATTGAGCCAGCATGGTAATCCCCTATAGTCCAAGGTTTTGGAAGAAAGGGTTGGGCCCAAAGATCAACTGAAATACTGAGTCCAGGAGGTGGGGGAGTTCTGCAAGGAGTGGTCCTGAGTGGTGGTCCAGGGTTTCCTAGGTTGCTGGTTCAATGGGCAGGCATATTGTGGCAGTTCGGGCTTCTCAGATGTACATCCATTTGTTGCAAATGTTTTCTTGTTTCTGTTTCTGCTTGTCAGGGATATAAATGCCACATGCTACATGCAAGAGGATGCAAGGACCTCCTCGTGCTGTGATTCACAAATAAATGCTCATGTGGTTTTGCAAAACCACCTTTCACATTTGAGAAGTTTCATCCATGAGCAACAGGAAGGCTAGCAAGTGAGGCTCACAGCTTGGGTCCTTCATTGACAATAGTTTCAATCTGGAGTGTTAGGCCCATGATTCCTGCCTTTGGTAGCAACACAACCACCAGACAAAACTACCCAGCTACCTGTACAATATGGTGGCACCTGCTGAGTATTGTGGCACCTACAGAACTGTTTCAGAATATTGTGGGGTGTCCATAATGATGGGTTTGATGGTGCCCTGGATATATGGGAATCCCCAGGTGCAGTGTCCTGGTCATTGTGTGGATAGTTATTGTCAGCCCATTCTGACATAGACCTATGAGGCTTCCACAGTAAGCCAAGTGGTGGGCACCACCCTGGGGAGCTTGTTTGCCACCCCAAATGTTTGTAACATTTATCAGTGATACACAGTTACACAAGTCAAGTGGTATCCACTCCATAATGGGGTTCCCCAATGCTGCATTTACCTGTTGAACACAAAGTGGGTCTGCACTCAGTTATGCTTCTTAGTTTCTGTTTATCCAACTCCAGACACTGTACAAAACAGGGCCCAGTCCCTGTAGTGTGGTCATGTTCTCCAAATCAGCACCTTGATGCTCTGGCATCTCTGATCCCATGGTGCTGCTATCAACAAGTTTATCAAATTCTGCCAACTGCTCACAGGCTGTCACTTGCACATTCTGTAGAACTTGCCACATAGAGGGGGTGCTGGCTGGAATAAATTTGGGACACCTCCTGTGGGCTCAACTTTGGGTTATCAGCCCCACTTTCCCAAAGCTATACCACCTATGTTGGGACAATTTCACTCACATTTTAATTCAACTGCTCTGCCAGCTTCCCTATTCCAGGGCTAAACAGATTGTATACATGTATTATGGGTAAAGAGGAGCTGTCCCTCAAGTCCCCATCTTTAGGCTAGGGGCTCCGCCTCCTCCACCTTCTGTCAAGTAGCAGGTCTGTCATGCAATGCCAGGGAACTCTCACAGAGACTGTCCTGGTCATGGGACAGAAGGAGGTGGTGCTCCCTGGGTCACGCAGTATGACTTCAGCAGGAACCAGCAGTGATTCCAAGGCCAACATGGGATTCACGTTTCTACCACTTTTAAAGCTTTCAACTTGCCCCTGGGAGTCAGATGGACCCATCCCATTCTGTACATGTCCCTTATCATTATCAGTAATCAGGTAAGTGAATATTCATCACACAAGGAGAAACCCTGCTTATGTTTTGAAGAGCACAATGGGCAGACTTTGATTTTTAGGTCAAAGTACACTGGTATTTGTGAGGAAGTGCAGGAAGGAGACTCCTTCTACCTTACTAATCATACATTCACTTCAGAAATCATTTTGGTAGTATGTTTAAGAGTAGCACATCTGACTACCTTAACATTCTGTGCATCTAATCCTCTCTATGTCATGAAGAGAATTTTATAAGATATTCTAATCAACTTTGTTTTCATTAACTAAAAACTACCATGTGACTACCCAATAACACCTGAATGAATAAACAAACCACAGCAAGCTATGCATTGAAAGTTTGCTAAAAAAAAAAAAAAACCATAGAAAAA